TTCAGAATTTTTTGAGGACTTTTTTAAAAGTTAAATTTTCTTCAAATTTCGGCATATTTTTGACATTTTCGAAACTTAACTAATTACAATTTCTTGTAGATTTCGAACTCTAGAACTCATTTTCGGCCTCGCTTTTTTGATAACTGCAACCGTTTTTCCAGAAGCGACCGTTGAAATATCGAAATTTTAAAAATTCTCAAAAATTCGCACTTCGTGCCGATTTTTTCGAAAATGTTGCTCCATGACCATTAACACGCTATATTTTTGGAATCAGCAAGTCGAGATGTACATTTCTGATTTTTTTCAGAATTTTTTGACGACTTTTTTAAAAGTGAAATTTTTCCAATGGTCCCCCCTTCTTCAAATTTCGGCAAATTTTTGAAATTTTCGAAACTTAACTAAATACATTTTCTTGGAGATTTCGAAGTCTAGAGCTCATTTTCAGCCTCGCTTTTTTGATAACTACAACCGTTTTTCCAGAAGCGACCGTTGAAATATCGAAATTTTAAAAATTTTCAAAAATTCGCACTTCGTGCCGATTTTTTCGAAAATGTTGCTCCGTGACCATTAACACGCTATATTTTTGGAATCGGCAAGTCGAGATCTACGTTTCTGAATTTTTTCAGAATTTTTTGACGACTTTTTTAAAAGTGAAATGTTTCCAATGGTCCCCCCTTCTTCAAATTTCGGCAAATTTTTGACATTTTTGAAACTTAACTAAATACATTTTCTTGTGGATTTCGAACTCTAGAACCCATTTTCGGCCTCAAGTTTTTTAATAATTGCAACCATTTTTCCAGAATCGACCGTCCAAATATAGAAATTTTAGAAATTTTCAAAAATTTGCATTTCATGTCAATTTTTTCGAAAATGTTGCTCTGTGACCATTAACACGCTATATTTTTGGAATCAGCATGTCTAGATCTACGTTCCTGAATTTTTTCAGAATTTTTAAACGACTTTTTTTAAAAGTGAAATTTTTCCAATGGTCCCCCCTACACGCTATATTTTTGGAATCAGCAAGTCGAGATCTACGTTTCTGAATTTTTTCAGAATTTTTTGACGACTTTTTTAAAAGTGAAATTTTTCCAATGGTCCCCCCTTCTTCAAATTTCGGCCAATTTTTGACAATTTCGAAACTTAACTAAACACATTTTCTTGTAGCTTTCGAACGCCAAGACTCATTCTCAGCCTCGTTTCTTTGATAACTGCAACCGTTTTTCCAGAATCGAACGTCGAAATACCGAAATTTTAGAAATTTTCAAAAATTTGCATTTCGTGCCGATTTTTTCGAAAATGTTGCTCCGTGACCATTAACACGCTATATTTTTGGAATCGGCAAGTCGAGATCTACGTTCCTGAATTTTTTCAGAATTTTTAAACGTCTTTTTTAAAAGTGAAATTTTTCCAATGGTCCCCCCTTCTTCAAATTTCGGCAAATTTTTGACATTTTTGAAACTTAACTAAATACATTTTCTTGTGGATTTCGAACTCTAGAACCCATTTTCGGCCTCAGTGTTTTGATAATTGCAACCATTTTTCCAGAATCGACCGTCGAAATATCGAAATTTTAAAAATTTTCAAAAATTCGCATTTCGTGCCGATTTTTTCGAAAATGTTACCCCGTAACCCTTAACACGCTATATTTTTCGATTGAGCATCTGGAGATCTACGTTCGTGAATTTTTTCAGAATTTTTAGACGACTTTTTTAAAAGTGAGATTGTTCCAATGGTCCCCCTTTTTCAAATTTCGGCAAATTTTTGACATTTTCGAAACTTAACTAAATACATTTTCTTGTACATTTCGAACTCTAAAACCCATTTTCGGCGTCGTTTTTTTGATAATTGCAACCATTTTCCCAGAATCGACCGTCGAAATATTGAAAATAAAAATTTTAAAAAATTCGCATTTCATGCCGGTTTTTTCTAAAATGTTGCTCCGTGACCATTAACAGGCTATATTTTTGGATTCAGCATGTCTAGATTTACGTTCCTGAATTTTTTCAGAATTTTTAGACGACTTTTTTAAAAGTGAAACTTTTCCTTCTCCAAATTTCGCAAATTTTTGACAATTTCCAAACTTAACTAAACAAATGTTCTTGTAGATTTCGAGCTCCAGAACTCACTTCCGGCCTCGTTTCTTTAATAATTCCAACAGTTTTTCCAGAATCGGTGGTTGAATTATCAAAATTTTTGCAATTTTTGAAAAATTTGATTTTAAAACCGAACATTTTGAAAATGTTGCTCGATGAACATTAACACGTTATATTTTTGGGATCAGCACGTCGAGGTCTACATCCCTGAATTTTTTGTGAATTTTTATACAACTTTTTCAAAAGTGAAATTTTTCCGATACTTCATATAATTTTTGTGGTTGTTTGCGACATCCAACATTTTTTATATTTTTTGGAGATTCTCATAGAACTTGTTTTTTGACTGGTGTGAATTGTTGGTGTAAAATTTCGATTTTTTTGCGAAAATTTGAATGCCTTGGGAAAAATCTCAAGGCGAATGTTATTTTTAATGACACGAATTTTACATTGGTTAATAAAACTGAGATACATATTTTGAACATTTTTTAACAACGCAACGTTCGCAACTCTGATACCACATAAATTGATAATTAGTGAACAAAAAAATTCATTCCAATCTTTCTAATTAAAATTATTAAAACAAAAAAAAAATAAATTAGGACATTATGTTGCCATATCGGATGTTCAATTGAAAAAGTCATCAAGTTTGCCTTTTTTCTTATTTTTTTGTTTTTAATAAGGCCAACTGTTTCGGTAATTTTGGATATTAAATATTTGACTAATAAAATCGCCAACAGAAAAAATTGTGACATGGCAAGCAAATTATAGATATAATAATAATAAATAAAAACAGGGCAGATTCATAAGCCACAAGTAGCGGAATATATTTTATTACTTTAGATTTGTTAAAATTACGCAAAATAAAGAACGGATAATTAGCCAAATTTTAGTTAGCTCATGATGTTTCTAATGTACATAAATTCTAAACTACGAATAATTGAAAACTTGAAAAATCAAAACAATTTGAAAATATTTAAATTTTGTAAAGGTGAAAATAGTGACCGAAAAGGCGCAAATTCCTTTATAAATTTTGAAAGACCAGCAGCTAAACTAATAGACACTTCCATAAACAAGTCGTTCGTGGCCATAATCACGCATTTAAACAACTTAATTACTCGGCAAAAAAACTTGTTTATGAGGTTGTTATTTCTTTATTTTATTATTTATATACTTACATAAATGGTGATTTTATGTTTTAGTGCTTTATTATACGAGTATCTATAGACACAACACGATCATTTTCAAGTCTACAATCTTTCCAAAAAACTTAAATGTGCCAATATTTTTTCCGAATCAATTTATTAATCGAATATCCGTCCAAATTCCTCGAAATTCTGGTAACATTGACGTTATGAATGCTTTTATATTGCACATATCCAAACAAACATATTTATCCTCACTAAAATCTACTAACGTCATCTAAAAAATTATGAAATAAATATTTTTAAAAATACGCTCTGACATGCACTGTATATTTATTGTGATCCGGACTTTAAAAGTCTGTATAAATAATTTTACAGTTACAAGTTTCTCCTCCTAAAACAATCACCATGAAAGAATAAGAGTCGTTTAATATAAATAAGCGAAACGAATCAGTCTTAAAATTAAAGGTCATAGAAAAAATTGTATTTGTATTTTTAAAGTAAAGAGTTTTTCTTCTTCCTGTCTCAATTTATCATTTGTCATTAATTAGTGTCAAGCTGCAAACGTAACCGACTTTGCTTTGTGCAAAGCATGCAAATTTCGAGCTGTTTTTAACCCAAAAATTGCATGATTCGTAAATTTTAATATAATTATCGATAATCCGAATTCTGTTCAGTTGCTCAACTCTATCCGCTTTAACTCCCCAATACAACGCTTAAATTGAATAAATTACTTATGTCAAAGACTAGCTTCGCGCATATTATTATTTTTTCGCCACTCTATTCAAAAAGATAATCTCGAAAAGTTCCAACCTACTAACTCGTGCAAAAGTCCCAAACCATACCAAATCATCAAAAAGACAAACTGCCGTTTTTGTCCCTCGAGTCTTATATGATTTCTATTCACATTCACTTAATCTAAATATTCGCCACGGCCGAAAACGCCAGATCCGGACTCCATACGTGCCAATTTAAGTAGAACAAGAACAATCCGAGCAACATTCCTTTCTCCACTTTTGCTACGAATCCCTCTAACCTACAATACTAAAATTGTCATCTTCACATAACCAATTCAAATAATTATTGTAAAACCGCCACTTTGGTTCCATTCATTATTCATGGTTTGTACAATCAATAATCACAATGAGTTAAGGAAAGCGGCATATAAAATGTCGATTCTTCAGGAATCTAATTTAGACTTAATCAAGTGGACAGCAGCGCGGGGCCATTTTAAGATTCGTCGAATTATATAAGTACAATACGTTGAGAAAGAATGGCAGAGTACTTGCCTCATTAAAATAATTCTCTGCACCGCTGCTCTTTCCGTAATTGTGAATAATTTTATGCAAGAGGTTTCGGAATCGAAAAAACCTCAAAAAAGACGACATCAAATTGTCGAATTGTCTGTTTTGTTTGAAGATTTCAAACCACAGTCAAGGTTTAAGCAACGAAAAAAGAGCAGTTTGAAATTACGCAGCGAAAAAATCAGTCATCGATCTGGAGTCCTTGGGAAGTTATGTTTAATTCAACCCTCGGGCTTTGGATGCTCGTCGAATTAACGAAGGACACATCTCGAGTGCGATCTCTAATCTCCGAAACTTATTACAACGCATTCTTCCCCCTTCCACGCTCTTCCTAATATTTTTTTCCGGTTATAAAACTGTAATCTCTGCTATAAGGTCTAGTTTTTTCTGCCTCCATCGGGGTATCATTAACCTGAGCAGCTTTAAGCCAGAAGACTTGTTTTGATGACGTCTTGTACCTGTAGTCCCCACCTTAGACGAATCTGAGAAAGATGAAATAGCTCAGTAAGAAATAAGCGCGCGTTTACTGAACACACAAGTTAAATCTAAACATGAAGTTTGTAGTTATTTTGGTAAGTTTATAGAAATTTTACGACGGCTTGTGTATTTGGGAAATTCGCTTCATTTTAACCTCCGGTTTTTACAAAATTTCGCCCAAAATAACAAAAAAGTGCTAGGTTTTGGGATAATTTCACTCGAGTTGATTTTTCATTCAAAGCACAGCTTCACACTACGCACGAATTTAACACCCCAGGTGTTCGCACTTCCAAATTCTTGCACCTGCTGCACTCCAGACTGTTGTCCTGAATGGGTTCCCATTACCATAAGTGAAAGTGGTGGTCGAAATTCCTTACCAAAGTCGAATTATAAACCTTTCCTTTAACGAGCGTCAATTATCACAATTTGTCAAACGGAGCTTTTTCGCTTTTAGCGCCTTGGGGTTATTAACAACACTTTAACAAGTGATGCAGCTTTCGGAAAAAGCAGCAACGAAATCACTAAAAGCGAACGGATGTGCATTTTCCGATAAATTTAGCTCCCGTGATTCATATCGGTCATAATTCATTCCGACTTTTTGCATAATTGGAAAGTAGATTAAAATTTATTTAAATTACAAAACAATAGTTTCCAAATCTGCTGTGATCAACTAATTCAAGCGTGCACTAATCGATTGGTACTAATATAACTTCAAATTATTTTCGCTGTTTTTTGTGGACTTTTTTCCGGGTGATTTTTGAAAAGGCGAAAAAGGCGCTGCAGAGTTACGAAATGGTGACTAGTTTATTATTTGTTGTTTTGTTTTTTTCGGTTGTTGATGACTGGCTTCGTTAAGCTCGAAGAAATCGGCTGTGTGAATAATTTGTGAGGGAAAAATTGTGACTTGTTATTACCGCTCAAACAACAAATGTTTCTTGACACACGCACTGTCGAACTGAATTTGGAGGAAATAACTAATGGTTGTTCGGTTCTTTCGAGAAAGTTCAGCTACACTACACGGTTAATAATTTTTTGAGTTCCGTTATGGAGTACGACCTTTAATTAATCATAATTATACACATGTGGTACGACGAGCTATTATTTTTAAGTGTGGTAAAATAACACTATATTTTATGATGGGTGATTATTGCCTCTGTCATTAAACTAGAGTTAAGCGGAACTTGAACAGTGCTACGTGGTGTTATTTTAACAATGCAGACACATATTCTAAAAAAAATACCACAAAAGAGCAATAAGAAACACATTATTTTTGTACCTAGCTAATCATAGCCTCATTTGATCACATTTTTTTTTAATGAAGTCATATTTGCATATTTTTTACAATTTTTGTAGAGCTTGTTTTCCCTGAATTCATTAAGTTGTCATATATACTTTGATCACCTATACTCCGCCACTGTCTATGATAGGATTGGTATATCCTTAGGAAAATCAAAACTTCACATGAAAATTTGTTTGCAAAAAATGAAATTTTATGGACATTAAGCTCATCAAAAATGTATTATTTTTCGATGAACCACCACGAAAAAAATTTAGACTGGCGTCTGAAAGGCCAGAATTTTATTTCGTTTTAAAGTACTTAACCATACACCGACGTTGTGGTGTACCACTGGCGCCTCTGGAAAATTCCCGATTTCGATATGGCAGAATCCGCCCCTGTCTTGTCTTTACAGTAATTTCAAAGAATCAAGATCATTCTGTGGATTGTTCTTGGAGCAATTTGAAAGAATCTCGGCGACCACTTTTATTTCGTTTTTGAAGTAGTTTGAAAGAATCTAGGAGACCTCTTGTGTTTTGTTTTTGAAGTAGTTTTTAAAGAATCTCGGGGACCTCTTGTGTCTGCTTTCTGAAGTACTTTAAAAGAATCTCGAGGACCTCTAGTACCTGATTTTTGAAGTCGTTTGAAAGAATCGGGGGAACCTATTGTGTCTGGTTTTTGAAAGAACCTCGGAGACATATTGTGCCTGGTTTTTGAAGTCGTTTAAGAAAATCTCGCGGACGCCTTGTCTGGTTTTTGAAGTAGTTTGAAATAATCTCGGGGACGTCTTGTGTCTGGTTTTTGAAGTCCTTGAGAGAATCTCGGTGATGTCTTTTTGAAGTACTTTAAAAATTTCAGGAATTTCTTTTGTTTTGATTGTGAAGTATTTTGAAAGAATCTAGGGGACCACTTGTGTTTTTGGTTTTTGAAGTAGTTTGAAGAAATTTCAGGGACCTATTTTTTAATTTCTTCTCGAGAATCACTTTTGTTTAGTTTTTAAAATAGTTTGAAAAATGTCGGGGACCCCTTCTGTTTATTTTTTGAAGTAGTTTTTACAGAATATCTTGGACCTCTTATGTTTGGTTTTTGAAGTAATTTAAAAGAATCTCCAGGATTTCTTGTATTTAGTTTTTGAAATAGTTTTAAAGAATCTCGGAGACTTCTTTCATCTGCTTTTTGAAGTACATAGTTTGAAAAAAATCTTGAGGGCTTCTAGTGCCTGATCTTTGAAGCCATTTGAGAAAATCTGTGAGACGCCTTTTGTCTGGTTTTTGAAGCAGTTTGAAAAAATCTCGGAGATATTTTGTGTCTGGTTTTTGAAGTCGTTGAGAGAAGGTCGGGGACATCTTTTTGAAGTAGTCTGAAACAATTTTAGGGACTTCTAGGGACTTCTTGTGTTTAGTTTTTAAGATAGTTTGAAAAGTGTTGGAGACTCCTCCTGTTAATTTTTTGAAGTATTTTTTAAAAAATCTCGGAGACCTCTTTTGTCTGATTTTCGAAGTAGTTTGAAAAAATCTCGGAGGCCTCTAGTGCCCAATTCTTGAAGTCGTTTGAAAGAATCTCGGGTATATATTTTGCCTGATTTTTGAAGTGGTTCGACAAAATCTCTGGGACGCCTTTTGCCTGGTTTTTGAAGTAGTTTGAAATATTCTTGGGAAATTTTTTGTTTCGGTTTTGAAGTAGTTAAAAAAAATCTCGGAGACGTCTTGTGTCTAGTTTTTGAAGCAGTTTGAAAAAATCCCGGAAATGGCTTGTGGTTGGTTTTTGAAGTCGTTGAGAGAAGTTCGGGGACGTCTTTTTGAAGTAGTTGAAAAGAATTTCAGGGGGATTTTTTGTATAGTTTTTCAAATAATTTGAAAAATGTCGGGAACCCTTTCTGTTAATTTTTTGAAGTATTTTTTAAAGAATCTCTTGGATCTCTTATGTCTGGTTTTTGAAGTAATTTAAAAGAGTCTCGGGGATTTCTTGTGTTTGATTCATAAAATGGTTTGAAAAATGTTGGAGATCCCTTCTGTTAATTTTTTGAAGTATTTTTTAAAGAATCTCTTAGACCTCCTGTGTCTGCTTTTTGAAGTAATTTAAAGAATCTCGGGGATTTCTTGTGTTTGTTTGTTCAAGTAGTATTAAAGAATCTCGGAGACATCTTTTATTTGGTTTTCGAAGTAGTTTGAAAAAAAATCTCGGGGGCCTCTAGTGCCTAATTTTTCAAGTCGTTTGAAAGAATCTCGCGCATATATTTTGTCTAGTTTTTCAAGTGGTTTGAGAAAATCTCTGGGAAACCTTTTGTCTGGAGTTTGAAGTAGTTTGAAATAATCTAGGGAACTTTTGTTGTTTTGGTTTTGAAGTAGTTTGAAAAATCTCCGGGACGTACGGTGTCTAGTTTTTGAAGCCGTTGAAAGAAGCTCGAGGGACGTCTTTTTGAAGCAATTTGAAAGAATTTCAGGGACTTCCTTTGTTTAGTTTGAAAAAGTCGGGGACCCCCCCCCCCCTTCTGTTTATTTTTTGAAGTAGTTTTTAAAGAGTCTCTTGGACCTCTTGTGTCTGGTTTTTTAAGTAATTTAAAAGAATCTCGGAGATTTTTTGTGTTTAGTTTTTTAAGTAGTTTATGTCGGAGACCTCCTTTATCTCCTTTTTGAAGTAGTATGAAAAAATCTTGGTCGCCTCTAGTGCCTGATTTTTGAAGTAAATTGAAAAAATCTCGGACACATATTGTGTTTTTTTGAAGTACTTTTAAAGAATTTTAGGGACTTCTTTTCGTTTGATTTTGAAGTATTTTGAAAGAATCTCGGGGACCCCTTGTGTTTAGTTTTTGAGGTATTTTTTAAAGAATCTCAGAAAACTCTTGTTTTTCGTTTTTTGAAGGAATCTCAACGAGCTGTTGTGTTTTGTTTTTGAATTAGTTTTAAAAAATATTTTTTGTTTAGTTTTTAAAAATGTCGAGGACCCCTTCTGTTTAATTTTTGAAGTAGTTTTTGAAGAATATCTTGGACCTCATGTGTCTCGTTTTGGAAGTAATTTAAAAGAATCTCGGGGATTTCTTGTGTTTGATTTTTCAAGCAGTTTTAAAGAATCTCGGAGACCTCTTTTATCTGATTTTCGAAGTAGTTTGAAAAAAATTTCGGGGGCCTCTAGTGCTTAATTTTTGAAGTCGTTTTAAAGAATCTCGGGTATATATTTTGCCTCGTTTTTGAAGTCGTTTGAGAAAATCTCTAGGACGCCTTTTATCTGGTTTTTGAAGTAGTTTGAAATAATCTCTGAGACGCATTTTGTCTGGTTTTTGAGCTAGTTTGAAATATTCTCGGGAACTTTTTTTGTTTCGGTTTTGAAGTAGTTTGAAAATATCTCGCGGACGTCTTGTGTCAAGTTTTTGAAGTCCTTGAAAGAATCTCGGGGACGTCTTTTTGAAGTAGTTTTAAAGAATTTCAGGGACTTCATTTCGTTTGATTTTGCAGTATTTTGAAAGAATATCGGGGACTTCTTGTTTTTCATTTTTTGATGTAGTTAGAAGGAATCTCAGGGATCTATTGTATTGTTTTTGAATTTGTTTTAAAGAATCTCGAGAACCCCTTTTGTTTAGTTTTTAAAATGGTTTGAACAATGTCCAGCCCCCCCTCCTGTTTATTTTTTGAAGTAATTTTTGAAGAATCTTTTGAACCTCATGTGTCTGGTTTTTCAAGTAATTTCAAAGAATCTGGAGGATTTCTTGTGTTTGGTTGTTGAAGTAGTTTTAAAGAATCTCAGAGACCTCTTTTACTGCTTTTTGAAATAGTTTGAAAAAATCTCAGGTGACTCTAGTGGCTGGTTTTTGAAGTCGTTGAGAGAAGCTCGGGGACGTCTTTTTGAAGTAGTTTAAAATAATTTCAGAGACTTCTTTTGTCTTGATTTTGGACTATTTTGAAAGATTCACGGAGACCAGTGTGTCTAGTTTTTGAAGTAGTTTGAAAGAATCTCGGGGACTTGTTTTGTTTTGTTTTTGAAGTAGTTTGAAAGAATTTCAGGGACCTCTTTTGCCTGGTTTTTAAAGTAGTTTAAAATTAATCTCGGGGACTTGTTTTGTTTTGTTTTTGAAGTTGTGTGAAAGAATCTCAGACAATCCCCTTTGTTTTGATTTCTCGGAAAAAATCTCTGCGAGCTGTTTTGTTTTATTTTTGCAATACATTTTTAAAGAATCTCGGGGACGACTGTGGCTGGTTTTTGAAGTAGTTCGAAATAATCTCGGGGAAAAATCGAAAAACTGAAGACTGGAAAAATTGAAATATCGAAGTAAAAAATGAAAAATCAGGAAATCGAAAAGGAAACAAACTGAAAATTCGAATAAAATATTCGAAAAGCGAAAATCGGAAAACCAAAAATTCTAAAATCGAACAACCGAAAATTAAAAACTTGAAAATCAAGATTTCGATTAATCGAACATTCTAAAATCGAAACGTCGCAAAATGGAAAAATCGAGAAATTGAAATTTAAAACATTGAAAACTAGAATATCGAAAAAGCGAAATTTCGAAAATCTAAAAATCGCAAATCGAAAAACCGAAAAACCGAAAAACCAAAAACTCCAACATCGAAAAGCGGAAAAATTGAAAAATAGAGAATTTGAAATTGAAAAATAGAATATCGGAAATTCGAAATATTAAAAAATTAAAAATTTGGTTTACTACCTGCTAAAATAAGATCAATTTTGGCAAATGGAATCCCTCTAAAAAAAATCGAGAAATCAAAAAATCGAATAGTAAAAAAGTTGAAAAATCGAAAAACTTAAGAATTGAAAATTGAAAAGTCTAAGAACTGAAGAATAGAAATTTGAAAAATTGGGCATCGAAAGGAAAACAAATTGAAAATTCGAATATCGAAAACTCGATGAATCAAATATTCGAAAAGCGAAAATCGGAAAACCGAAAATTCGAAAATCTAAAAACCGAAAATTAAAAATTCGAAAATCAAGATTTCGATTAATCGAAAATTCTAAAATTGAAACGTCACAAAATCGAAAAATGAAATTTCGAAAACTGAAAATTCGAAATGTCAAAAATCGAAAAATGGAAAGATTAAAAATTCGAATAGCGAAAATCGAAAACTCGGGAAATCGAAAAATAAAAAAATTGAAAAATTGAAAAACTGAAGAATACAAGGATTGACGAATTGAAAAAATCGGAAAACCGAAAATTCGAAAATCTAAAAATCGCACATCGAAAAACCGAAAAACCAAAACTTCTAAAATCGAAAAACGGAAAAATTGAAAATAGGGAATTTGAAATTGAAAAATAGAATATCAAAAATTCGAAATATCGAAAAATCAAAAATTCGGTTTATTACCTGCTAAAATAAGATCGATTTTGGTAAATGAGAGATCCCGGTTCGATGAATCGAGAACTCGAGAGATCAAAAAATTGAAAATTCGAGTAACGAAAATCGAAAACTCGAGAAATCAAAAAATCGAAAAGTAAAAAAGTTGAAAAATCGAAATAACTGAAGAATGGAAAATTGAAAAGTCGGGACATCGAAAAGGAAACAAATTGAAAATTTGAATATCGAAAACTCGAATCAAATATTCGAAAATCTAAAACCCGAGAATAAAAAATTCGAAAATCAAAATGTCGAATATGTAATCGAAAATTCTAAAATCGAAAAGTCGAAAAATGGAAAAATTGAAAACTAGAATATCAAAAAATCGAAATTTCGAAAACTGAAAATTTGAAAAATCGAAAAACTGAAGACTGGAAAAATTGAAATATCGAAGTGAAAAATGAAAAATCGAGAAATCGAAAAGGAAACAAATTGAACATTAGAATATCGAAATATTCGAAAAGCGAAAATCGGAAAACCAGTTTATCTTTTTGAAGGAATCTCGGAGATCCCTTGTCCTATTTTTGAAGCAATTAGGAAAAGTCTCGGACAAACCTGAATATTTTTTTAACTTTTTGGTCTTTAGAAAAATATTTAAAAAAAAATCGTTTATACAGATCGCGTAAAAATTTCCAACACGCCCTCAGACTCTTTAAAATGTCAACAAACATTTACAGAATATTGAACTAGGCAAAAAATTAAATGCTACTGGTTTAACCTTGAATACGTTGCCCATTTAATTAACAATTGAAATCAGCATTCATAAATATAAACACAAATTTTGTATTCTTCTTTCGCATTTTAGTTTCACGATTCTGTTAAGGCCAAATTACATGTAAAATACATTCCAAATCAATGTAGTTGCCCGTATTCTCGACCAACTTCAAAGAGATTTGTTACTCAACCAAGTCATTTAAAAACTATGTACTTTCATATATAATCCAAACCAAAAAAAAAAAGACTAATGATTATTATTAGACTCAAATTTGCCAGCCACCTCAACATTCTAAATTATAAATAAGTATATTTTTAATGATCTGGAAATTAACTCATTTAAAACATACATAAAAAAAACTGGAACAACAACAAACTTGCAATAAAATTCTTATAATAGATCTGTTGATGTAAAAAAGCAGCTAAAAATTCGCAGATATTTCAGTATTGTAGTTCGTGCGAAAAAGCACCAGTTATTTAAATTTTTCACCATTATTTAAATACCTAACTGTCACAGAATGCCAACATTCGTAAAATAAATCACGCATTATCGATCGATTTGACACCCACATTGTTTACATTATTTGTAATTACGATCGTTTATCATCTGTTCATTCCTTGCATAAAACGTTATTTATAGAGCACGCAACCAAAAAGGCATGAACTATTAAAAATTGTTTGAATTCATTGTTTCTTGGTGTCGTTTCTGCCAAGTTGTCTCTTTGATTCGGAAACTACCGAACCGATTACGAATCTTACATAATTTCCTGTTTACGTCCACTCCACCAAAAGCTGACAACATTTCCAAAAATATTCTATAATAAAATATATTTTTTTGTTAAAAATAATTGCATTATAATACACCCACAGAAAAGTTAGTGCTAAATGATAAAAGGACAAAAACCAACATGACGTAACACCATTGACAACAAGAATAGAATTATTGTAAAAACCGTATAAAAACATGCAAATAGAAGCATAAAGATGAAGTCCAAGGACTTCACGTCGTCGTTCAATAATACCCAACTACGTCAATGAATTTAAAAAAAGTGATCACGTATGCAGCACTAATAAAGACATTTTTGCTGTCGCATTACGAAAAAGTATACGATACTGTTACACATAATTTTACGCCTAGTTGAATAAATCTACTTAAAGCACAATTCTTTGCCGTACTAAAACATACAGAAATCAATAACTAACAAAAGCAAAACACAAAACCGTAAATCGACATCTCCTTATAAGCTTTCTCCTAACCTAAACCGATAATTGTAGAAAAAATAATCCACCAGTCCACAAACTCATTTAAATAACATCATGTCAATACGATTTAACCGTTTTTAATCGAATCACTTTCATGTTTTTACCGCAAATTAAAATTCCACTATGCGTTTGTAAAACGATCAGAAAGTTGAACATTTTATCAATGAAACGTTTCGTTTTTCAGTTCGTGTGCATATTCGTAGCGCTTGCCAACGAAGCCCAAGCCACCGAACAACAATCAAAATCCAGCGAAGTTTCCGGAGGAGGTCACGAATCCAAAGGTAAACTCCAGTATCCACACTGAAGCTCATTTTAAAAATAAGCCCCCAGGTGCGAAACAGAGCGAGTTTAAACACGTGAAAAAAAGCGGAAAGTCGTCGAAGAATGACGCCGAAAAGGGACGGAAGGGTCAGATGATGAAGGAGATTCGCAAGAAGGTGACTGGTGCAGGTGGTGGGAAGAAGACCAAGCACCATGACGAAGACCACCACAGGGTGTACAAACACAAGAAGGGAGGATCAGCACATGGGGGAAAATTCCGGGACGGAGCGAAGAGGAAGAAACTCAACTACAAAAAGGTATATAATCATCCTGTTGACGAAATTTTGAGTAATTGAGAAATGTAGGGGTTCAGGGAGAAGTACCACAAGGACGAGGAGAAGAAACACAACAGTTTCTACAGCAACGGCGACAAGAGTGGAGAGTTTGAGGTGTACGGGCAAAAACATTCGAAATACAACGCCAAGTTCTCAACCAAGAAAAAAATAGAAAAGCACCAGGTACGTAAATCGTGGTACTAAATTTTGGAAGCTGAGTTATACGTATAATCGTTGTAGGGCGCTGAGGAGCAAAATGACTACAAGAAGGCTGCGGCGAAGGTGGGAGGTCACGACACGAGCGAGAAAAAAGGGCACAAGGACGAACATGCGACGAAGAGCCACCACAACCACCAAGAAAAGTACGCCAAAAAGGGTGGAAAGAAGGGCGGCAAGCAGTACAAGTACAAAGTACCCCCGCCTAAGTAATTACCAGACATTCAAAACAACGGTTACTTTATTCCGACTGCTCTAGTGCAATCGTTAGTTATTTATTACGATACAGTTATAAGCATCATATTTTTGTTAAACTTGTTCAATTACAAATAAACTCTTTTTAAAAATTCAAAGAAAATTTCTTCACTGACGTTAATGAGTGTTTGCTTGAAATTATGACGATAAATCTTGATTAATGATTTTATTTGGCCGCAACGAAAGTGTATAATCTGGGAATAATAAATCCTTCATGGAAAATCTATTCAAATCAATTCTCTGTAAATATTGCTTAGCTGTCTTTGGCGAGCGACTCGGATTCGAAATTATATCCTATTAGAAATGAAATTATACGAGGGTATCATTTATTATTTACACATTTCGTGATGGCATAAAGCACAAGGAGTCTTTGTATTTTTAACAGTTTAATGTGGAACGGAAAGGTTGCGGGGGTGCAGAGTAGTTATAAGACGTGAAAAATGAGATTGGTTTTAATTTTTTTGGTTGTATTAATTGTGCCCTATAAAGTGAAATCACAGGATGAGAAAATTATAAAAATAAGTAAGTCAAATAAAACCTTTAGGTTTTTTTCTAGCACATGTAATAGTTCTGTTAAAATACTTAATTGACATTAATACAAAGGCTATACAAATTCACACATCTACAAGGTATAAAACGTTATTATGCAAATAATTGCGCTTAAGTTATTTACTCAGTCGGCAGTTAACTGTAACCTTTATTGATGTAACCGAAAAATCTGTCTAATTAATGAGTCAATAGGTTGATTCTTATATGTACAAAAGTTAATGGATCGTTCCAGAAAAATTGATAAATTTTCGGTCATTTCATAGTCGCTTACTCCATCAAGGTTTTCAAGGAAAAAAATTTAACGCAAATGCACAAAATCAGCTTAAGTAATATCCGCGTAAGTATGTGGAAGTTAGTCAATACGTGCAACAAAAATTAAAAAAATTGTTTCCTACGGTAACCAAGTGGAAGGTCAACTAAAAATCCGAATATTACTTAAATTTACTGCTTTATTGCCACAACCTCCAAACGATTACAAAAATGTTTCCATGTTTTTGATTCTTGATCGTCATGTCCCTTTTTTGACAAAAATTCAAAACTGTGAAAACGCATTTAAATTCGACTCTAAAAATTTTCACACCTTTTTAACGATTATATATAAATCAAGGAAGACTCATAAACCACGAATATAGGAGTATGTTATGTTATAAATTGTAACTGAAAGCTGTTTCGACGGGACTTCCCTCGCATCGAAAGTACAGTGAAATATATCCAGCATTTTTGAGTTTTTACTTTACAGAATTTTGAAGATGACCTCATCAACATTTTTGCAGGGACACGTGATCAACTTGGATTTGTGCAGTGTAATACTAATAATAACAGTATGTATTCCCAAAATTTTATGGGAAAATAGAGTGAGCCATTCCTGATTTAATCAATAAAATAAATTGCATATTTATAAATTTTTTTTGAGCCACCTGGATAAACAAATCTAAAAAATATGACACTAATGATAAATCACAAGTAAAAACTCATCATACTTTGCACATTTCGGGCAGATTTAGAAATTTAACTCGTGTCAATGGAAACTTGCAATCTAACACTTTTAAATTGCACAAGTTTTTACAAGATTAATAGGGGCAAAATCAGTTTTATCTTAACAAATACTAGCCCCGCCTACCCGCCCCCTATTTTCTCGGAGGATTGTAATTTGCCAAAATCAATCTTATCTTACTAAATACTAGCCCCGCCCACCCGCCCTTTTCTCAGAAGGTCGTACTTGCTAGTACTTGCTAAGATAAGTCTCATTTTGGCAAATGACATATCCTCTGAGAAAATAGGGGCGGGTGGGCGGGGCTAGCACCTGCTAAGATGAGACTAATTTTGGCAAATGACTGTCTGAGAAAATAGGAGGCAAATCTAAAACATATGCAAATTATGGTCAAAAAATTGTAAAATCGAGAAATTGAAAAATTAAAACTTGAAGCAATTAAAAACTCGAAATTAAGACCTCAAACAGCAACTTGAAAAATTGAAGAAACGAAAAATTCAAAAATAGAGAAATTAAAAATCGAAAAACTGCAAAACTGAAAAATTTGGAAGTCGATTAATTGAAAAGTTGAAAAAATTAAAGTTGAGAAACGAGATACTGTGATATCAAAAAATGATAAAATCCAAGAAAAAAAAAACAAATGAAAATTGTATCAAAAAATCGTAAAATCGAGAAACCGAAAAATTAAAAATTGGGAAAATGCAAAATTATTTGGGGGTCTCCTTTTGTTCAAATTTTAACGTATACTAAAATTAACATTTTCTTTGTTTTGATGATATTTTAGGTTTAAATATTGCTAAGAACTTGAAAAATTTAACAAACAAAAAACTGAAAAATCAAAAAATTGCAAAATTGAAGCTGCAAATCGAAACATTGGAGAAATAAATAAACTTCAAAAATTTGGAAGTCGAGAAATTGAAAAACTCAAAAAATTCAAGTTGAAAAATTGCGATATAAAAATTGTAAAATCGAAAAACTACAATAAAAAAATAAAAAAATAAAAACAAGAACTTGAAATATTGAAGAAACGAAAAATTGAAAAATCGAAAAACAAAAAAAAATTGTGATAAAAATGGTGAAATCGGAAAATTGAAAGATTAAAAATTGAGAAAACGGAAAACTGTAAATTAAGAACCTGAAAAATTAAACAAACGAAAAATTCAAAAAAATGTAAAATTAAGAAATCGTAAAACTGAAAACTTGAAAAACTATAAGAACAAAAAAATGAAAAATCCAAAAATTAAAAATTGAGAAACAAAAATCGCAGCACGAAAAATCAAAAAATTGCGGAATTGAAAAGTTGCAAATCGAAATATTGAAGAAACAGAAGTCGAAAAACCGAGAAATAATGATAAAATAATTGAATAAAAATAAAATCGAGTAAAGGAGAAAAACGAAAAATTGTAAAATCGAAAAATTGAAAAATTAAAAATTGAGAATATAAAAAAGTATAAAGCACTTGAAAAATCGAAAAAAACTGTAAAATTGAGAAACTGAAAAACAAAAGCAAATATTGAAGAAACGGAAAATTGAAAAATCGAACAGCAAAAAATCGAAAAAATGCAAAATTGAAAAACTGCAAATCGAAATAGAAAACAAAATTGAAAAAATGAAAAAATTAAAACTGAAAAATTGTAAAATTGTTAAATCAAAAATTGTAAAATCGAAAAATTGAAAATCGAGAAAATGGGAAACTAAATTGAGAACTTGAAAATGAACAAAGAAAAAATGTAAAATTGAGAAATCGAAAATTAAAAACTTGAAAAATTAAAGGAACGAAAAATCAAAACTGAGAAACTAAAAAATCGGAAATTGCAAATAGAAATAGAAATACAAAATTGAAAAACTGAAAAAATTAAAGCTGAAAAAATGAAAAATTGCTGAATCAAAGAAAATAGAGAAAAAGAGAAAACAGAGGGCGGGTAGGCGGGGCTAAGATAAGACTGATTTTGACCCTATTAAACTTGTTAAATTTAAAAGGTGTTAAATTGAATATTTCCATAGTAACGAGTTAAATTCCTAAATCTGATTGGATATTTATTTTTTAACAACTCAGTCATTAATTTTTCTGAGACGCCCTGTATCAGCAAATTAAAAAAAAATTAATTATATATAAAAAATAAATCAGAAGTTATTATAGACTCATCATATTTTGCACGTTTAAGATAGGGTATATATACAATATTTTGAGGTGACGTCATCAATTTTTAAGAGAGATGAGCAAATAGATTTTGATCAAAAATTTATTGTGCTTCTGATAACATCTCCAAGATTTCAAAGCATTCGGTTTTGAAGATTCCAAACTAAATTGCAAAATGTAGTTTTATAATTTTGATTTTTTTTTCCAAAAATCTTGACGTCTCGGGTAAAACTCAGCACCGAGTCATAAACTACATGTGTAGGACTATGTTATTTTATACAATTTACTATTACTGTGCACAATTTTGAAGTGACGTCATCAGATTATTGGTGGGGATGATTAAACAAATTTTGGTTAGCGTTTTACCATCTACATGATATTCCTAATATAAATACAAAATTTCACAACAATCGGCCCAGTACTTTCGGTGATTATCCGTCTAATAATATTTCTTGACGGCAGACAGACAGGCAGACAGACGGATAGACAGACAGACGGAAACGGGAGACCTATTTCTTCCTACTCTAGGGGACCTGAAAAGTCGAAAAAAACGTAAGAGAGTTCGCTTATCCTCGGGAAGTAAAGACATTAATTTAGTGTCCCCGAGAAAGTTTTACATTAAAAAAAAATAGTTGGGGCCCCAAGAAGGTTTCACATTCTTAAAAAAGACATTTGGCGACCCCAAGAAGGTTTTACATTTTTAAAAAAGACATTTGGAAATTCCATCAATAACAAATTTGTTATGACGCGATAAACATACGTAGATAATTAATACACAATGCGAGAGAAAAAGAAAAAAAAAAACGAAAGGCCAAGTTTGGAATCGAACGCGCGACGTCTTGTCCACATTCCTGGCGCGTAACCACTAAACCACCACCGGGATCCCTTACGCTAAAGGTAATCTGTGATTATACCGTGTATTACGTTTTTGCAAAACTCATAGAGGATTCTTTGAAATGACGTCATTAAATTTTTGGGAGAGGATTAGAAAAACTTTGGTCAGCATATAAACATCTACAGATGGAAAAGGAAGATTACTTTTTTCGTACTCTAGGGGTCATGAAACGTCGAGAAAATATAAAAGAGGCCACTCGTCCGATAGACTCGATTTCTATCCTTCGTTAGCTTACGCTCGGGAAGTAAAAATTGAAAAATGGTTCAAATTTGGACCCCAGGGCAGGTATTAACGTGGACACAAAAATGGGATAAATCAAGAACCGAAAAATTCTGGAAAATTTAATTCCAAAACGAGTTTATCCTCGCACAGTATAGCAGCGAACTTTGTTTAAAATAACAGATTATGAATATAATCAAACACTAAATAAAACGGTTTATAAACAATTAATGATATATAAAAATTCTTGGGAAAAAATTGTTTGAATAACATACGCACATAAAGAAACGAGTGCATTAAATAAAATAA